TAAGGGAGCACCTGAACCGATTAGGTGAAACATTAAAAGTATAGCAATGCAAATAAACCAAAGTATAATAGGTCTGAGTTCATTGGTGGGAGATAAGGAAACTAATAATGCTAATAAGTAAATGGGAAAGACAACAAACAATGGAGCTGTGCTTGCATTAATGCAAGCATTAATGGAAGGTCTCGCAAGGGGCGACAGATTGGACATCATTGGTCAAAGACATGGTGGAATGATTCCAATCAATGGGATACAAATCTGGAAGGATTCATTGTTTAGGAGGAACCTTATCAAGAGAAGAGGTGACAGTATATATATATTTAAATGAGAGAGAATACAAAAAAGGAAACAGCAGCCACAGAATCACTTTGAGAAAAATTAAAAGATGGTAACAAAGGTAAAATATTATTGGGGGTTTGCTATAGGCCCCCAGGCCAGGGTGACAACCTTGATCTGGAACTTTGGATGAGATAAGAAAGGCGACTTGCCAGGGACCAACCATAGTAGTTGAGGTTTTAACTTACCAGGAATTGATTAGGATAATAATGTCTACTGGTAAGAGAAGGAAAGAATTTCTAGTTATATTTCTAGATCCAAAGAGAAAACTGGTCTGAAAAACAAATTAATTTTATCTTTGTATATTTTCTTAATAATGATTATGCTTTCTCTTCTAGCTAGGATTGTTCCTTTCCCGCCAAGGATTAATTGAAAACAGAATCTTTATTTTAGTTTTCAGTAATAATTATCCTTCAATGTTAGAGTTTATCCATTGCTTGAGAAGCATATTATAAGCACACAGTATAGTATCAAGCAATACCAAGTGTATTAATACCGTTTATTCATTATTATGCCAACAAGTGAGTTTTATTATGTGAGTGGAAAGAACCCAGAGTGCCACCATATTTGCCTTCAGGGAATGGGTGTTTGGAGGAAACGTATAAAAGTTTTTTTTTTCTGTGAATTGGTTTGATTGTAAGTGTGTAATCTGTCTGAATAACAGTGGTTAGATCCAGAAGGATGTAGTTGAAATTTGCTTCATAGTGTTTCGAGCATACTGATTAGAATTGCAGAAATCCAAAATCTAAACATACAGATTAGAAATATAGAAATCATGGCACCAAATCCGCACTGAAGCAATCCACATGACAGCCTAATCTGCTTATAAATGGAAAAGCTTTCTTTCATTTTCCAGTTTTGGCCTCTACCACTCATCCGAGTAACTGATACCAGCTGCTAATTACCTTTAATGTAAAAAAAAGTACTTCTTGGTACTGCCGTACTGCCTGGTACCTGGCAGCAATGCAGTGCTTTGGAATGCAAACCTAGCAATTGCAGTTGAGATGTGCTATTACGTGCACCCCCACATTCACAATTTGCTCATTATTATCAAACCCTCTTTCCTTTACCTCCTGTATACAGTTTTCTCTTCTCTTACCACTCTTGCCTTGAGCTGAGCAGTGATTTGCTGATTAACCGAGTGAGGTTGGGCAAATACATTAATGTGGATCTTCAGAAGGGATTGAGAGGGAAGAGAAAAAAAACAGCTATACAGATTATAAACCAGCTGGGTGGTAATCTTACTCTCATCATGTTGCAAAGAAAATGCATTCATTTTCAATGGAAAGTTGGGAGGCTCATATCCAACAAAGGTTTTTTTTACAGGGGAGCAGTGTCAATTCTCTACTGCCAGCTTTAGGCTAGGACAAGAGAGTACAGCTGCTACAATAAATGCTTTGCGCTGCAGTCCACAAATGTTTAGCCCAGTCTGGTGGTTAGCTGATCAAAATCATGCTAAATATTCCACATACACTAGATGGTGCTGTTTAATGCTCTCAAAAGTAGAGTACAGTTAGTTCACTTTGGAAGTTTTTTTTCTATTTCGCTGCAAATGTCCAGGTGAAATGTAAAAAGAGCATATCATTTAATGGGTAATTCCTTAAATATAATGAGTTTGATTCAATCAGGATCTTTTCAAAACCTGCAAACTGAAGGCACGGTCAGAGAGGCTGGTCTTGAGATGGGTCTTGAAGGAGACAAGGGAGGGGGCGAGGCAGAGGCAATGAGGGATGGAGTTCCAGAGGGTGGGGGCAGAGTGACAGAAGGCCCACCTGCTAATAGTGGGGTGGATGAGACGGGGAACGTGAAGCAAGCCAGACCCCGCTGAATGGAGCGAGCGGGCAGGTTGGTAGGGGGTTAGGAGGTCGCAGAGGTAGGGGAGAGCAACGCTCCTGAAAGTGAGGACCAGGATCTTGAACTGTATCCTCTGTGTGATGGGAAGCTAGTGGAGTCGGGTGAGGATGGGGGTGATAGGGTCATGGAGCTTGGTGCGGGAGAGGATATGAGCTGCAGAATTCTGGATGATCTGCAGCCTGTGGAGGGAGAAGTTGGGGAGGCCGACAAGCAGGGAGTTTGCGTAGTTGAGCCTGGATGTTATAAATGCATGTATGAGTCCTGTAGCTCAGTGGTTAGAACACTCGCTTTGCAAGCGAGAGATCTGAGTTCAATTCCAGGCAGGGCGAAACCTTGGGCAAGTTTCCTTACTCCACACGCCTAATAATAATCCCTCCAAAAAAAAACAATAATAAATCGGTCATTTTCAATCTACGACTGTTTGTGGGACATTGCTGTGCGCAATTGGCTGCCGCGTTCGCCCACAAGTATACAGTCATTCACTTTACAGTGTGATCTGTGAAGCGCTTTGGGACGTCCTCCCGACGTGAAAAGCGCTATATCAAATGCAAGGATTATTATTATTATTATGAGGGTTTTGGCGTCTGTGGTGCAAGATGGTGGTGGAGCCGAAGGATATTGTGGTGGTGGGGGAAGGCAGAGCAGGTAATTGCATAGATGTGGGGTATAAGGGACAGTTGAGGGTCGAACAGGACACCAAGGTTCCATATTGACTCCGTAAGATGTACAGTGGGATCCATGGAGGGAGATGCTGTCAGGGCCCGAGATATGGAGGCACTGATGGGAGCCAAGCAGGAGAGCCTCGGTCTTGGTGACATTCAACTGCAGGACGTTAGCTCTCATCCAGGACTTGATGTCTGACAGACATTCAATCAGGACAGTAGTGGTCCTGGAATCGAGGGTGGAGGCAGAGAGGTAGAGTTGACCCATGTCTGCGGATGTTGTCACCAAGGGGGACCATATAGATATTGAAAAAGAGAGGCCAAGGACAGAGCCCTGATGGATGCCACACATGACGGTGCGGGGGCTGGAGGAGAAGCTGTTAGTGATGACAAACTGGAGACAGTGGGAGAGGCAGGATTCGAACCAGGCAAGGGCAGGTAGGTCCATGAAGATTGAGCCGAGAGGAGAGGCGGTGCAGGAGGATAGAGTGGTTGACAGTGTCAAAGGCAGCAGAGAGGTCGAGGAGGACAAGGAGGCAGAGGGAGTTGTGGAGAAGAGTACATCCCACTACCTGCCGCCTTCATTCAGCTGGGTCCGGCTCCGGCATGTCCCTGATCCCCTCTGCTCCACCATTGGCGGCTGTAATTTGAGCCACTACGTTCCAAAGCTATGAACTCTCTGCCTCAGTCCCTTTGCCTTGCCCCCTTAACTGCCTTCAAATCACACCTTATTCTTTGAATGTGCCTACGGTCACCTCGCCCCACTCTGAGGCTCAACATAGGAACATAGGAACAGAAGGAGGCTGTTCAGCCCTTCGAGCCTGTTCCGTCATTTAATTAGATCATGCTTGATCTGTAGCTCAACTAATGCTTTCAATTCCAATTTCCCACTTTCTCCCCATATCCCTTAAAACCCTGACCTACCAAAAATTTATCAAGCTCTCATAATAGTTCTGTCACTGTTAAGCACTTGGAGATGCTACCCCGAGTGAAGGGCACTATATATATATATATATATCTATACTATATATATATAAGGGCACTATATATATATATACATGCAAGTTGTTGTATTTTTCATGAATTCTGCAGGCACTATTCACCGAGCATTAAAAATGTAATGCAATGTATAGTTTCTTGTAAGGTGTGGGTTTCCATAAGTGGCAGATGCCCAGCTGACCCCCCAAAAGTTTTTAATTGTGTTTAAATGTAGCCCTTAATGGACTTTCTTTTAAAAATGCTTGAACAGAATCTATTAGCAGCAAGCCATTTGTTCATTGTTTATATAAGTAGGAACCCAGTTGTTAGTTGATTGGTAGATCGCTTTTCTGGGGGTAATAATTCCTTTAAAAAAATTGATAATTAATTGGTCAGTTCAATCCACGATTATTTTTGTGATACTGCTTACTGCTGCCACGTTTGAATTGACTATATTTTGTAGGGAAAACAGTATATTCTGTGAAGCACTTTGAGACATCTCGAAGACATGATAAGTCACTATATCAAATGCAAGGATTATTATTATAAACATTTATCACAGCAAATACACAATGTACATACACTTATAGATGAAGTCTGAAATAAATCCAAATAGTAAAAAAAATCACAGCAATGTTAACACATAGAATAGTTTATGAAATAATTTGTCTTGTGATGAATTGTGCGATTTCTCCATTAGGCTCATCCACTGTTAAAAAAACAAACCTTGCATTTGAGGATTTCAAATAAATTTCATTTAAAAATAAGTATTCATTGCAGTTGAGAAACAATGCTCTTAGTTTTTGGTGATACATCTTTTTAAAAATGTGCCCAGGTCAAAACTAGACTGCTACAGTATTGCTGGATGAATTCTAGCATCAAAGATTGCTTTAAGATAAAGGTCTTATAGGACTTATAGACGAGGAGAAATAAAATCTCTTCCTTCTGTCTAAAGCAGATTTTTGCACTGTATCAACACTTTTTTTGTTTTGTAGCTTACTTTATCTCACTTTCTCACTGTACTATTTAATAGGGGGCAGAATAAATGTAAGATATTGAACAAATATCTACATGCTAACTACAAAAGGAAATCGAAAAATATATTCTAACTAGAATGAAAAATATAAAGTCCAAACAAATTCTAAATATTACAGACACAAACCATCTAACAGATTAACCATTTTTTAATGCTGCATTATATCATGTTTTTTTAAAAAAAACAGTATTGCAAGACATTTTCTACATTTTGTACAATGGAAAGGACGACCATTCCTTGGCTAGATGGGACTCATGTGAGAAAATCAATCCAACATTTCTATGCAGAGTTAAAGGCTTACTGAACTTTTAAGAGAAATGTTAAATTGTGATGCTTTCTGCCTAAACTGTTGACTGAAAAATTCCCATGTCATTAATTCAAAGGTTAAGAGGGTAACCTTTTTGTTCAATATTCCTCCAAGAAAATTCCCTCAGTTTATGTGCTATTTAAAGTATTCTGCTTCACCCAGGGTCTTGGTGTTAAACAAAAGTGTAATCACATTGAATTGCCCTTTTTGATATCTATAAATAAATCAATAAATTAAGTTGAATTTTAAACATAAGTAATGTTACACAGCCTTATTTAGGTAAGGAATCATTTAATTAAAGTATAGGAGATGTTTGGTGGAAATGACGATACAACAATACCAGCAACATTTACAAGGCCATTTACTGAACTATCTAATAAATAGGAACTTGCTATGAATAAAGTCTACTGATTATTACGATAATAATTGGGTAAGGGTCAGATGATATGTAATATATAAAGATTTACTTCTTTTATTGTCACACTGCCACAATTCATTTAATGGTGGATTGGGGAGGCAAAGTTTAAAAATGACTCTTTGAAGCATATTGTAAATCTTTCCATTCCAAAATTGCTTGTGTGTAGTCTGAACGAATACTTGTGGTTACCATATTGCTTGTAAATCGTATCCGAGAGAGCAGCAATTCAATTTATCGTGCTATTCTTTTGCACAAATTTTTGAACAATATTCAAACCTTTCTCAGATTGCAAAATAAAGTATTGTTCAATTTCAGCCAACAAGTAGCATTCCAAATCACTCAGTACTGTATGTTTACAGGACTCAGCCTATAATCAAATTAGTTGAGCTATACAACTGGAGAAATATTTCACTTGGTCCAAAGTTAAAATCATTGAGAAACAGATTTTCCACAATAGTTTTGATAAAATCCTGGAGTACAAAATGAGGTAAAAAAAAATTCTGGGACGTCAAAGTTGAAAAATTTTGTCATACTCAGTATGTTGAATTGAAGCCATTTCTGTCAGTGTGGGTTTGGAGGACTGCACATCAGAAGCGGTAACCATACACCTCTATTCCCAGGCCATGATAACCTTACTGAAGTTTACAAATACTCCTTTGTTTGTTTTGCTGAGGAAAGAACAAAATAAATAAGTTGTCTTAAGCTGTAATACATAGCTTTCATTAGAAATGTATGGATGTCTACCATCACTTAAATAACAATTACCAACTCATGAGTCATGACCTTATATCCAGTTCATTTAACCCATTTTGTTTGTTTAATGTTATTTAATTTGGTAACTAACATTTCCACCATGGGTATGATTATTGTATACATCAAACCACTTATTTGGATCATATTGCGTTAAATTTAGTTTCACTTGTGGTGCATTTAGTTATGTTTCATGGAGTCTAACCAGCTAAATCCGCATTGCTTGCCATTCATATTCTTGTCCAGCAAGCTTTTATCATTGCTTGTCCAGCTAGGGCCACCTATCCGTTTGGGCTTTGGTTGCAGGATTAAGAGGAGCTGACTCCCTGTCCCCAATGACTGGTCTGCCCTTCCAGGTCCTGTCGATGAGCCAGGCTGGCTGTGCTCTCATCAGCAGTGCCCAGGAATATTGCGGGACCGCCTGGATCAGGAACCGAGCTTCCCGGTGGACAACGCATCTCATTATGAAATGTATGAGAGCATTTCCACCATCTTCCTGTCTTGAGCTCGGACACACATTCCTTCCCAATGAGTGATGGCTCCACCAATTGGAGGTGTGGAGTTTAAGCAGCTGCTCACCTCACTGCAGGCCAATCAAAGTGGATTGCAGGCTCTGGATGTATGAACGTGTGTTCACAAACTCAGACTCCAGGTAACCCCTTCCAGCAGCTGTCGCCCCAAGCCTCAGAGTGAGTATTGGTGAACTGTTGTTCCCTTGTGTCTGTGTTTAACTGGTAATGAATTACACAGTGGCTGTGTTTGCAAGCAGTGTTGATTGGGAGATGTCTAAGGACTGACAAGGAGGTAATATTCCTAATTGTGGATACTGAAAATATCTTGTGGAAAATTGGCTCAATTGTTACTGTAGAAATGCTGTTCGTTAATCGTTCACATAAATCACTTGCATGGAACGAAGAGTGGAAGGAGAAACTGTTATGAACCACCATGAACAATTGAGCGCTGCACAATATCCCTTTGATGATGAGGCTTGTGACTAAGTCCATAAATAGAACCATAATGTACAATGTTGTGCTGATGAGTTACAATTTTAAGGCTTCCAGTACTTTGCTAACTCTGCTGTTCACAAGTCCAGACATTTGATTAGGTTTCACTGCAGATCTGATAATCAAAGGTGTATAAACTTACCAAATGAAATAACGAACACCTTCGAATATCCCATCATGCTTCCCCACTTCATTGCCTTCCAGTTCTACACCCAGGTACACTTCATGTCGGCCTGGTAGGGGACCCAGGTATTTAACTGCTCCTTTGCTGATTTTTCCTGCCGGCCGGGAGAACTTCACAACATGCCCTATTTTCAGATCTGCAACACTCCTCGGTGCGAATGGGCGTTGTGGCAGCACTGCTTTACAAAGTGCAGGTCTATTTAAAGAGGAATAAATCTTTTGTAGCTCACTGCAGTTAAACGCTCCAAGAATATGTGATAAACCTGCAATACTCAAGTCACTTCATTCACTAAATGTGCTTAGAATACTGTGCCATCCCCACAGGTACATGGAAGACCCAGGAAAAGCAACAATGCTGGGGTAGAACAGAGGATATTTTCATCACATATCATTAAATACTTGTAATTCGCTTCCTCCCATTAGTAAACTCATCCTTAAATTTCGCTCATAATACTGGTGGCGTGAAAGGCGCTATATAAATGCAATTTATATAGGCCACTCTCCTACCCCTGTCCTTCACCCCACCAGATCCCAACTTCCAGTTCGGGTCCAAATCCCTGACTGTCCAGCTCCTTGGGGTGTCCTCACTATGTGAAAGGCCCTATACAAACGCAACTTGTTATTTGACAGCCACAAGCTGCCCTCTATCTGTATTGTACTTCTGGATTGTGACATTGCTCTACTGGTTAACGGGATACTGTCTTCACTCAACTTTCAATAATAAATAATAATAATCCTTGCATTTGATATAGCGCATTTCACATCTTCACAGAATATACTGTGAAGTGAATTGACTGTATTTTGTGGGCGAAACGCGGCAGCCAATTGAGCACAGCAGTGTCCCACAAACAGTCATGGATTGACGTAACCAATTTATTATTCTTTTTATTTTCTTGAAGGATTATTATCAGGAGTGTGGAGTAAGGAATCTTGCCCAGGGTTTCACCCTGCCAGAAATCAAATCCAGGTCTCTCGCTTGCAAGGCGAGTGCTCTAACCACTGAGCTACAAGACTCAGGCAGTGTCTTGCAAGCCAACGCTCAATCAACAGGCTGCAAACAGAAAGCTGTGGTATAGAACTATATTTGAGGTCAGATAAAACAAACATTTAAATTCTTGATTTGAAATTGCACAGGTATTAATTGAGAGCCTGTCCTGCATTAGAGGTGAGACTGTAATCTGGTGCTCCCTGCAGGGAGAAACACAACCGTACTAAAGTACTGCTTATTGCATTTATTGTTCAGATTCCGTTGCCCGGAGCTATAGCTCACAAACCTCATGGGATGGTTATTTCTGTTAAAGGTTCTCCAAACTGCTGCCTGTGAAGATGAGGATTTTCTGGGAGTTGACCTGGAACAATGTTTTAAGGAGTCACCGTTGATCTCCCTTAAAGAGGGCATATCCTCATCACTCAGGCCATCCAGGTCTAAGAGATGATCTCAAAGGAAAAAAGGAAAGGTTAAATCCAGCACTTTTTTTAAAAAAAAACTCTTGCTTTTAACTATGATTAGCGGCTGAGCAGATGGGTCCTCAGTTTTATATCACATCCAAAACAGCACCTCTAGCATTCCAGCACTTCCCCACCACTGCAATGGATTGTCAGCGTAGACTATCATCTTAAAGACCCAATGTGGGGCTTGACAACCCATAGGCTACGATTCAGAAGCAAGAGTGCTACCAATTGAACCAGGCTGACATTTACTTAACAGTGAAGAGAAATCAACTTGTCAGTCCAGAGATTTGACCATGACAGGTCAGAACCAAGCTGTTGTTCCTCATGAAAGGTCACACTCTAGGAATTACCTTTAATGTTATTGATTTTTGAGTTGGAAGCCTGAATGAAGATCCCATTGTTGCACGATGCAATAAGAGCTTCTGTGTTGTCACTGTCCAATGAAATGGGAGAGAGACAGTTTTCAGCTCTTTCCTCGTCTTTGTCTAAGGGACAGCAATGGAGATGTGTTAAATGACTGTACCAATTCGCACAATAGTTTGGAAATTTTAAAAAAATCAATTTGTATCAGACTGTGAAAGCGTTCAAAGAAGGGACCAACAAACCTATCTTTGGTTTGAGAAAATAATGAATTTTACTGAACAGAATCAAGTACACTAGGGTTAATTTGAAAAAAAGCTCTTTCCTAATCACACCAAAACAGTAGTTCAAATATTGAACATAAGTTTGCATTTCTTTGATGGAGGGAACAAATAGTTACTCAGAGCTAATTCCAAATAGAGCGGATAACTTCACTGTTTCAGCCTATCCTGAAATTCATATAATTTTTGATTTGGGGTTTGACACAAAGTCCAGTTGAGTGGCAGGTTATTTATTACCAGATTAATCCTAACACAATTTATTCCTTCCATCTATTGAAATGGGTAGATTTGAAGTAATGTGATTTTTCACCCACGTGGTATAAACAACATTGGGTTTGCTGTTCTTTATTCAGAGGCTATTGGGCCATCCAACAGACTGTTGATTGATCCCATTAAACAGCAAAATTACATTCATGCACAGAATGCCAAAAGGAATATTTGTTTATTAGACCCAATTCAAAGCGATGTACAGAAGGCAGGAAAAAACAACAAGATTTCATTTATAGAGCTCCTTTCACGTCGGGAGGACAGTTGGGTCAGGACCCGAGCAGGGGGGAAATGGTCAGGGTGAGGGGAGGGAAGGGAGGGAGCGAGGAGGGGGTAGAGAGTTGAGAGGGGAGCTGAAGGCACGGTTGAAGAGAAAGGTCTTGAGACCGGCCTTGAAGGAGGTGAGGATGAGGATCTTGAATTCGAGAATTGAAAACAGAATTGCTGATCCGCATTGCTCCCAGCGGTATAAGGCAGCATCACTCTCCACCCTGGAGGTAGTAGGCCAAAGGTACATTTTCACATTTGAAATAAAGGTTGAAATATATTTATTGAATATATGTATTTTCCACTTGCTTTTACTTTTGCCCTCATGTGGTAGAAATAGTTTTTTTAATGAAAAATTATTTACCATCCCATGTTTGGAACGTCTGGTCAAAAGGCGCACTGGTTACTTCCCGGTTTGATTTAAGTCGACCATTTTTCTCTTCTAATTTGGCAAATTCAAATCTGTCCAAGGATTTAGAAAGAAGATAATTTGAGTAAATGTGCCGGTGAATGAAAGAACTACTCATCCTCATTACTTTCCGCACAAGAGAATGGAATACAATTCTGCTCGAACTTAACGTTGCAATAACCTAGCATAGCTCATGAGATAGGACAATTGACCTAATATCCCCAGAAACATTCACTTATCCTTCTCACTACTTTCAAATGTATACTGCCAGCTGGACTGGGTCCCATTTTATTTTGTAGCTGAAGTTTTGTATCTGACAATCAAGTACCACTTAATAATAAATAATCCTTACATGTAGTATTGTGACTTTCACATCGGAAATCACAACCCAGGCTGTCAGTAGGATAGTCCAATGAGTGTAGGGTGGATTAATGGACAGTGGATAGCCTAATAAGAGCTCAGGGATAGATAGATTGACAGGTGAATTGTGCAATGGGAGCTCGTACTCACTGCAGTCATTAAAAATTGCAAAAAAATTGCAGTTTCCAGGCCGTGATTTTTTTACACCTTACGTATGAGAAACTGATCAATGAGGTTGAGATTTATTATAAGTCTGATATTGCCGAAAGCTCACCCCATCTTCATGAGGCTATGATGAACGCATTAGTTTTTATTAAAAAAAGGCAAAATATTGCGGATTCTGGAAATCTGAAATAAACACAGAAGTCGCTGGGAACACGCAGCAAGTCAGGCACCATCTATGGAGAGAGGAAAGTGAGTTAACGTTTCAGGTCGTTGATCTTTCAGTGATTCAGAGTTCTGATGAAAGGTCATCGACCTGAAACTTTAACTCACTTTCCTCTCTCCATAGATGCTGTCTGACCTGCTGAGCGTTCCCAGCGACTTTTTTTTATTTCAGATTTTATTCAATTTGATTCAGAAGTCAAAAAGTACCTCACTTTTTTAAACACACCTGCTTATAAGAATCAGTGAAAGTAAAAATGTCTGAATTTTTTTTAAGATATTTTTAAATTAGTAAACCAAAACTGTCAGTTTGTTCTTATGATATAAGTGAACACTTCTCTCTTTTGAACACTGCTTTTACCTGCACTGTGAGGAAGGGGCGATGCACTTCAACTCTTGCAAAGCCTCTTTTTTCAGCACGACAACTTGTCTTTTACACAGTGGTACCTTCCGTGCTAGGCTTACAACACCACCTGAATAATCAAATGACATCCATGTTACAAGCCAAAGAGTTAATATACCAGTAAAAAAGGCAAAGGAATGAGAGGCCACTGAACTCTCTTTCAGTGATTCAAAATTCCTATTTGTTAATGGCTTGAGAAGGGTTATGACTATTGTGAAATTTGTGTTAAAATATCCAAAGAAGTATATCAATAAAAAGAGACTTTAGACTATGGACTCCACAATCTTTGACTGGCTGATACTATTATAGGAGAGGGCTAAAAATGAATCCGGAAGAAGTTTTCATTGCTACACAGTGTTCAACCAGACTTTTCGGCTACCTTTTATTATGTCTGATAGAAACAGAATTTTTCAGCACTTCAGCACAAATTAATTTTATTAATTTAATGTTACAACTCTATTTCTCTCCCTCCCGTATCATTTAATCTGTTACTGCTGTTGTTTGTCCAGTTCATTTTTGAATTATTCCATTAATCCAGCTTCAATACCACACTTGAGGCATATATATTATATTAAAAAAATTTCCTTTTATTTTTATTAGTTTAAATTTTTGATGAATAATATTGACATTTATTTTACCTTTATTATTTTCAGTTTTTTTTAATATTTAGTGATCGTTTCAATTACACCAAAGCCCACATAGTGATAGTGACCATGTGTAGTGCGCAGGAAGTGACATCTGTGGCAATCTTATGATGCACAGTTAGCCACTTTTGGGGTTCAAATGCTGAACAATATATTTTTTTAAAAATTTGATGACAGGAACCCAGTTTCTTCAATTTGGAACATTGGGAAAAAAGCCAAATACTGATTTAAAATAGGAAACTGGCAAGCTTAATTATAGATTATATTCTTAAGAAAATATGTCTGATATTAACCAGCAGTAGAGGTCTGGATGAAAGTGTGAAAGAGGGTTGGGGCAGGGAGTCACACATCTATCCATTGATATATATAGATAAACTGATTGGCTTCTAATTATGCCGGAGGATCACAGGAATGTACAAGTTGTGAACAAGTAGAGACCTCAGAAGGTCTGTTTACATGCATACATTTTTAATCTCCAGCAATAACATCAACTTTTAATCACAAATTTTTCTATCATTTTATATTTTATAGACTGGCACCAATTAACACAAAGAGTGGGTTAAGGAAAGTGACAGATATCACCCAATATTTATTCCTTCCTTCCCTTCCTTCAAAGGGCTCTTTGTTGAATTTTACACAGTCAATATAATGCTGCTGCCAATCTTATTTTGGTCTATCCTATCCTGGCCAATAAATCCCCTTTAAATAAAATTGGTCAATCATTACATTGCTATTTGTGGGACATTGTTGTGCACAACTGGCTACCGTGTTCATCCACAAAATGTACAGTCAATCCACGACAATATATCCTGTGAAGCACTTGGAGGGTCTAAATGACGTGATAAGGCGCTATATCAAATGCAAGGATTATTATTATGTATCAGGATTGCGCTATGTTTCTGAAATTGTTACTTTATAATATCCTACCCTTTTTGGTAATTTCCAAATTTCGCTTCTTCTCTTTGAGATTTCCACTGAAGAACCATTCTTGGTGCTGCCTGAGATCCCACAATTCTTCTTTCATTTGATGGTTTTCCTCATCAAGTTGATGGTTGTTTTTTCTGAGTTTCCTGGACTCAATCCTTAAATGTTGTATTTCTTCCAGTAAATCTGAAGTATTGTCTTTCCCTGTAAGCTGGGGTGGATCAGAATGCAGCCGATAAATCTGAGGATGTTGAATCAGTTCATATTAGTTTCCATGCAGGCATACTGATTGATGTAACAGAGATCAAGTTAGATGTAAAATTGTGCAGATATTACGCAAAAAAATCTGCCTGTATTGAAAAATTGGTACACCATATGCAAATTCTGGTACAAAGTTCTTTGTTTTCTTGCATATCTGATTGATAAATCTTGGGGATTGAACTGAAATAATAATAAAATAATACTTTCATTTGGTATGGCGTTTTTTACATCAGGAGGACATCCCAAAGCATTTCACAGGATTTACTGTGAAGTAGAGTGTGTGTATTTTGGCCAAACGCAGCAGTCAATTTGCAAACAGCAACAAACAGCGATTAGGTGAATGATATTCGGGGGATTGTTGGCCAAGCTACCAGGATACTAGCTCTTCTCTTTTCAAATAGTGCCTTGGGATCTTTAAGGTGAATGGGACGGCACATTCAACAATACAACATTAGAGTGTCAACTTAGACAATGTGAGTTCAAGTCCAGATGTGCGGCTTGAATCCACCACCCTTTGACTCAGAGGCTACCACTGAGTCAGACTGAAATGAAACATGCCAGGTAATTGGTCCAGGTTATGCATGATCATTTGTATACCAGTACTTTGGATACCAGTACGTATGTGGTATGCATTTTTAAAACCCTAACACAATCTCTGTGTAACACACAACTCCTACAGAGTACACTGTAAATCAGTGGAGTTCTCACTTCTGCCTACTTCTTTTGATCACATCCTCAATTCAATGAAATGAAACAGACACTGGATGGTACAATAAAATATGTCCAGATTTTATGCATGAACGGGAAGCAAAAATCACTGGGGAACTGGGGATGTTTGAAAAATGTACTTGTTATAAAAGCAGCTTGTAGTCTTCGTAGACATTTTATTATTAACACACAGTAGTTCTTTTGTCTGTTAACTAGATCTAAGACCCACATACATGAGCAGCGAGTGAAACTGACATACAAAAGCAAGGGACGAACATTTGTACGTGTTTGCCAAAGCCAAGAAAAATCTGTTTTCTGAACTGGGGAAATTCAAGTATGAAATCAAATCTGTTCCTGCAGTAAATACATCACTTCCACTAAATACAATGGTGAAGGTAAGAAAGTTGAACTACTCACTGAAAGGGCAGTTAAAACACAAGTTTCTAAAAGAATTACTAAACGTGCATATTTTCCCTCTTAAAGTCTTAAGTAGGAAGTAGGAAGTGAATCTCAATGTGAGTTTAACAAAGTTACAACAGCTCCTGCGGTTATCCTTTTACGACAGGTGGTTATCTCTTCAGCAATTAATTTTTTAAACTGGCAGCAAGGTTTATTCAGGTGAGTGAGTACCTTATCTTTGAAGTAATCCCTCTCTTGCCTGGCATCCCGCAGCTCATCTGTATATTCAACTCTCAATCTGACTACCTCACCTCTCAGCTGAGAGATTTCTTCATCTGCCTTGGAGAGTTCATTGACAACAGTTTCATTGGCCTCCTGCAGATCTCTAATGTGACTTTTTAAATCCTCTGAAAAATAAACATGTTGTTTTACACATCAACACAGTCCAAACCAAATATTCTTTTTCTATTCTGTCTAATGGGACAGGATAATCAAAGCTAATTCTGTGGAAAGAAACACGTGCGCTCAAATCCTCAGTTTTTAATCAGATTATCTGTTGTTAGCAAATTACAGCGTGCAGTTAATAAGTGCTGTAAAGTACCAGATATTGTTTTATAATACAAACAAACTGGAAATGGAAGGATGTTTTACCTATTTGTCGCTGTAGCACAGTTGGAGTATTTGGGTTAAAGGCAAAGTGCTCTGCGCCACTCTCATCCTTCACTTTTTCTTCTTGAGCTTTTTTTGTCTAAACAGACAGATCAGTAAAATCTCATTCAAATCTTTCCTATACTTTATTCATTATCTTCAACAACTTCACATATCTCAATAATAAGTATTCAAGCATCACAGTATTGAACATAATTGACAGAATACACTGAGGATGGATTGAGGAGAAAGATACTGAGCTCAGACAGTGCCAGCAGAAAGAATGAATTGATTTGCAAGAAACAAGTGCCATGCCACTTGCCTGATTGTGCTCACTGAATGATCTCTGCCAAGATACTGTATTTTAAAGCTTTCATTCCATCATACTGTTAGCCTGCTGCTAAGAGAAAGACCACACTCAATTGAATGCTAATCTGTCTGAAAACAGAACTGGAAGTACTTGAAAGTCCACCTCCGGTCTAAATGGGCTTACAGGAATGAGATTGTTGGAAACAATCTCTGCCCCACACTTCGCCCACAAAATATACAGTCAATTCACTTTACAGTACATTCCTTGAAACGCTTTGAGACGTCTCGAAGAAGTGATAAAGCTCTCTATCAAATGCAATGATTATTATGATTATAAAGCCACTGAATCCCACTGTTTTATACAGAATTTGCTTGGTTGTATTCTGGAGGGATTCTGTCATATCAAAATTAGAGAAACTGGATCATTTGTGTCCAACATCGACCCCCTTAGTTATGTATAAATAAACTTGCCTTAAAATACTGCTTGATAGCAGTTTACTCTAAGGCTACAAGTTGTTTGTGCATTTGTTCTCATTAGTAAGCAGAAGATTTAAAAGGTATTGGGAAGCTTTGCTAACTTTTATAAGAAAAAGTAAAGTGCCCGAGCAGCAAACAAATGTATCTGCAATATGCTACTCTGAAGTGCCTTTGTTTCTATTTCTATTCATAAACCAGGGCAAACAGTGATACCACTTCAAACATTACTGCTTTATCTCCGAGGCACTGATGTATGTAGCTCCTTAGTGTTGAAAATACAGCACACACAACTCATGTGTTGTACGTTAAGGCTTTGTTGCTGGCATGGAACAGGCAATTAACTCTACAGTTTATGCTGGAACACAATATTCTGGGAGTTGTTTCCAAACACTCACGCAGATGAGGGCAGTGATTATAAATGGTAATGTTTTTTCAGTTCTATAGCACACATATCTGAGGAATTCCAGTCGTGTTAAGAACAGCCTGTCTTGGCCCCTGCAGTTTATCGCTTTTCTTTTTTTTGCCATTCACAGAATGATTTTACAGAAACGTACCTGGCTGTAGCCTTTTTTTTTCAAAATCACTTTTCAAAAGAAATTTGTGTCAAATTAATCTTCTTAATTGGTAAATACCTCGACTGACCTCTTCTTGCTGGGGTGCGGTTCTCCAGTATCACAGGACACATTGTTCCTGTATGAGTCTTGGCAGTGAGTCTCAGCAAGCCAGGGCATTCTCACCTCACCTCTCTCCACCTGGTTGCCATACACACATATCCCACTAAGGTGTGCGAAAATTGGTCAGTAACCCTTGATTTTATGCAAATTTAACATGGAGTGGGACTTGAGACCATTGAGCGCCCGGACTATCCCACAGTTCTACCTGCCACACCCTCACCCCACAGCAAATTACCACATTTAATTAGAGACGCATTTCGACTTAGCAGTTTGGTTTTTTTTGCAGGTCCAATTTTGAAGACGGTTCATGTTTCCAGATAGCAACTGCAGTTGACATCAGTTGTCCTCTAAGTGAAGCCACTTTGACACTGAGTAGCTTTGACACGTCAATGCCTTGAGACATCCTCCACTCTATAAATGTAATTTTGTTGTTGTTGGTTGGTTTAGCAGAATGGGTAGAAAGCAGGAATTTTATAGCCACTTAAACAAACAGTGTGAGGTTAAAAACGTGGCATTTACAAATTGTGAGCAACAATTAGATCAGAGGTTTTGCTCTTGAGATGTTTTTCAGTATCGCGTAAAGTGGAACCTGAAAAGTTACTTCCTCTTTGAAAATAGTGACCCCACTGAGAGTGAATCCAAGATGCCAGTTCCAAGTATTTTCAGGATTGGCTTTGGGTATTATTATTATTATTTAGAAGTTGAGGGGTATTTGAAAATAACTTTTGACCTGTTTCTTAAATGAGGATTAGAGTGTATTTAGAAATGACAATTTTGACCCTAAACAATACCAGAATTAGAATTGAGAAACAGAAATGGAAATTCATGACTGAAAATAAACCTCTTTTTGAAGCCATTGATTTTCTAACACGAGTATGGACTTTTCTTCCAAAAGTTGCTTGTTGATCAGCTGAAGGTTCTTCATATCTTTGTCGAACTCCTTGAGATCCTCATCTTTCGTAGCCAGAAGAGCACTTAGGGCAGCCACATTCACATCTTGACTGACAGTCCCTTCTGTGCCCTGAAATAAGGAAGGGATGTAAACCCAATTATGATCAGTACAATAGATTAAGGGGTGAAATATGCAGTATTTCATATTGGATCACTCCATCATCTCCCCGGCAGTCTCAGCATAACGAATCAAGTGGATTCTTGTGGCTCAGTGGTTAGAGCACTTGCCTTGCAAGCGAGAGACCTGAGTTCGATTCCTGGCAGGATGAAATGTTGGACAAGTTTCCTAACTCCACACGCCACTGTTTACCAGTAAGTAGGAATCCGGTTGTTAATCGTTTGGCAGATCGCTTTTCCGGGGGTAATAATTTCTTTTTAAAAAAAATAAATAAATTGGTCACTTCAATCTATGACTGTTTGTGGGACACTGCTGTGTGCAATTGGCTGCTGTGTTTCACCCGCAAAATATACACTCAATCCACTTTACATTGTGAAGTGCTTTGAGATGTCTCAATAACGTGATAAGGGACTATATCAAATACAAGGATTATTATATTATTATCATCAAAGATGGTGCTAATTCTTTACATATTTGAAAAGGAGCAACCCAGGAAGGGCAGGAATCAGAGTGTTTAGGAGTCAGTGATAGTTAAGGAACGGAGTTAAATATTGGGTATTTCACAATGTATTTGATATGATAGTGATCCCAACAAATGCATTAAATATTTGCCACAATGCAATAAACTGCTAGAACAGCAATCTATAATGCTGGTCACTCAAAGCCTTTTGAGCTGGTCGAATATTGATCCTGCTGAGAGAGGAGGAGTGGGGGGAGGGGGAGGGGAGGGGGTGCTGTCTCAACCAGTCTCAAGTTCCCGACTGACATCAGGAACAGAATATTATGATTAGAAATAATGATAATTATTGCAGCACATACTGCGTTTCTCACCCTGTTCAATTTTTAAAAAACATTAGTCCTTTCTTAAAAAAATATTGTTGCCGTGGATACAGTAGTGATGAGTTTACAGCATGTAATAAACAAGCAAGATCACCTGAATTTATCATTGCCTCTCCGTGAGCAAATAAAATATTGAATTGTATTAAAAAACTGAACATGGCTTATAAAAAAAAATACACAATTGAAAACGTTCACTAAGGCAGGTTTGATTTTCTTGGTAGGCAACATGGCAGCTTCAATCAGAAGGGTTTGTTTTGGTTTTTAACAGCAAGCTATTCCACAAACATTTCCTGCCTGCAGGTGATCTTCAGAACAAATCTGAAGACCATATGATTTTGTACAATAGATCAATAGATTCAGAATGAATTTTCTTTTCAGTGAAACACTGGACTTGGCACATGGTTTTCATAACAAAGAAGCTGCTGTAGCTGCAGTAATCCTGAAACCCCCATCTGTCCCTGTACTGAACCACTGCACATAATGCAATCAACCAGAATGGGGGGAATGGAGTCAGAGTATCTGTGGATTCATACAATCTATGCGTAAACACATATAATTTGACTCCATCCCTGCCCCCACCTCCCCCCTCCTCACCTTACTGAGCAAAGAGTCTGACTATTTCAGACTGATTTCACATCCAGCAAGAAGCTGCAGTTAATTTACCTTCATTGCTAATTCTGTTCACAAGCTAAGCGGTCAAGAAACTTCTTCGTCACTCCATATCATCGATTTAAAAGTGGCGCTTAGCAACAGTAGACTCGGATGTTTTTCACCGAAGCAGAACTGGTGCCTCAGCTGCCATTGTGGGCTGTCACACTGGCATAGAATTCATACGCCACTCGATAAGGAGAAGGCTTGCTCACAAGCCTCACAACAATACTCTCTGCCTTCCAATCATGTTTCTCCATTTATTACCATCCGCGCTCAAACACTGAAGAGCAATAATCACCAGTGTTTGTACTGACTGTGACATGATGCACTCAGAAAGGACCATCCAATGAATGCAGGTTCTCCACCCATCCCCCTCACTACCACCAACAGCAGACTTAAATGTTCTCTTATTCACTTAAAATCACCACCTTTTAAAATCAGCACACGCAACAATAAATCACACACAGTATAAAACTAGAAGCTCGGAAAGACACTCTTGAAAGAAGTAATTTGACTGAATGTTCTAAGAGTTTACTGAATACATCTCAAATGACACATTGCTATTTTTTCCAGATGAGTTATGAAAAACAGAATGATAAAATCTTTTCAGATTCCAATGTTTGTTTAGTCACTTGAAACAATGTTACACAACTGGATTAACAGCCTTCAGATGAACAACTCCTCTTTATTCTCTCCTATATTCATTGTTTGTCCAGTTCCACTATTCATCTGTTCCTGTCATTTGCTAAAGGATAATGTCACAACACTAAATGCATAACTCATTATTTCTGCAGTTGATGATTGATTTTATTACAGTGCAGTATAGCAAACAAGCATTTTATGTATATACAATACGTATGTACGCACACATGCAAATGATATTCACTCCTATAGTAAATATTCCTATTCGGATACATTTGGAGAGAATTAGCTGCTACTTGTAATAGATTTTCAATGAAGTAATGACGTTCTTTTCTTTATTTACCTCTTATTCTTCCTCTCCCTTACTGCCTTTACCCACTATTCAGCTTCATTTGACCATCTTTGAGACGTCTCGAAGATGTGTTAAGGGGCTATATCAAATGTAAGGATTATTATTATTATTGTTATTATATCTATTGTAAACAGTAGAATCTTTACACTATAGTACAGTAGTTGTTTAACTCTTTCTCCTGAGAGCTATGAAATAGATTACACCTCAGATCTTGGAATGCCTGGTCACAATCTAACTTGTACTCATAAATATTCATAGCCACTAAATCTAAATTTATCTTTTTCTCTATAAGAATAAACTTGAAACAACTTGACACTTTATAGTCTCCTCATCATGACAAAATGCCTCAAATGCAAAGATAATTTCTGCAACCTATGGTGTTTGTTTAGGCAAACTTGCCAGCCATTTGTGTCAGCAATGTCCTACAAACAGCCACTATGTGAATATCCCATTCATCAGATTTATTTTATCCCATTCATCAGTCAATTCAAAATTCCAATGATTCTTAACAGATTTGATTATCATCAATTTTGTTTTAAAGCGTCGTGCTTTTCATCCCATTATAGTGCGGATTGCATCTCCTGTTCTATTTGTCAGGGTCCTCGGGAATTGAGTTTTTGATGGTACTTTTTTGTCATAAAGAATAAATATTAGTCTGTTTTTATGGGGGAGGATGAAGAGGTTAGTATCTGTGAATTATATTAGGTAAAACTGATGGCTCTTTTATGCTTATTTTATTTGCAATTGAGTGTTATGGTTTTCACTGTAAGCCTGAATGGCACTGAATACATCTTCAGTTGTATTTACAAGATTGGCAGTACTCTCATCTCTGGGTTCGAGAATTGTGGGTTCAGGTCACTTGAGCTCATAATCCTGGGTAACACTTCAGTGCTTTACTGGGAACATGCTACATTGCTGTCCTTCTGGCTAGACATTAAACCCCAGTCCTGTCTACCGGTTCAAGTGGATATTGAAAATCCCTATTTGAAAGAGAAGGGAGTTTGTGCTGATGTCTTGGCCAACAATCCCCCAGATAAATCAATCATTCACTTTGTGGCTGTTCACATGACCTTTCTGTGCAAAATGGCTTAAGTGTTCAGCTGCGCAGTCACCAATTCCCTGTGAAGTGTTTTGAGATTTTTTAATGTTAAAGGTACTGTTAAATGTAAGGATTATTATCTTGAAAATTATAAAAAATAAAGCTTTGAAATCCCTGCAAATCAACAATGCTTTACTTTAATAGTTAATTAAGGACACTGTGAATCATAAATGAATAGGATTTAACCTACCTCAACACTGTCACTTATGTTGCATTTGGGTTGTGGTATATTGTCCCTGGAGAGATTGCTGGAGACTATACAGGGTATTACTTGCTCTGACTCAACATTTCTGTCTTCTGCCAGTGATGAGCAAGAAGTGGACGAAGATGTTGATGACTGGAATACAACACTCTGGCTATTAACCATCTGGTTGAGCCCTACATTGCAAGTTACTGGCTGAAACTCAGGCATGGCACCATCATTTCTTTCTGTGGGACCGCAATCTGATTCTGACTTCCCCGAACTGGAGTGAGTTGCAGCAGAAATGCTTCCAGTGTGTTTGGCTATATCAGGTAAACCTCCTGAATCATGTGAGAGAGAAGTAAGGTGCTTTACCCAGGCTTTATTTTTTGCAGCATCAATACTGGAGCAGTAAGTGGGAGAGGTTTCAACAGCAAGCTCATCTCCTACAACATCATCCACTACATCTGATGCTGTTTGTTGTTGATTTTTGCCTGTAACATCTGGACTTTTGTCAACTATACATTGCATACTTGAAGAATGAACTTGTGGGGGATTGGAGATGTGGAAAACTGAATATTTCTCATGGAATGAATGACAAAGCTGCAGGAAGCCAGGATAAGATAGACTTTCTTCAGGGTTACACTGCTTCTTTTGTAGATTCTTCAAGTGCTCCTCATTATCAAAGCACAACTCAAATGTCTGAGCGGATGCCTTTCTGCAGTGTGTCTTGTGTGCTTCACTCCCTTTCTCAGGCATCTTGACAGTGTTCTGGCAGTGAGGCCCGGTAAAAGATGAGAGCTTTTCAGGTTGACATTTTATATTGTTTCTGAGGTTTTCACTGTTGCCTGAGGTCCCTTTTAGTGACTGTTGCTCAGCCTCATAATGTGAGGAACCAAACACTGGGGAAACAGGAAGCTGTTCAGCAGCAAGTTGTTGCTGAATTGTGCTTTGCTGTGGCACTGCCATAGTAATCAGATATTATTATCACAATGTGGTGTTGACATACCTGGAACATTTAAAACATTCTGCTTTTAGTTCTGCAATATTAACAAAAGGTCTAAGTCCAGCAATGAATATTTGAAAATTGACTTGTATACATAAAACACACGTCTGCAGCCCTGACATCCTTCCAAAAAACCCATCCTATGATCTTCCCATCACAACATCAAGATTTTTTTTAAGTAACCAACCTCAGCCACCCTTCCTGGTAACCCGTTCCAGGCATTATTTAACCTCAGGATAAAAAAAATGGTATCTGTTTGCATTGTCTGGCAAGTGAATCATTCCGAAATTTAATTAGAAAAGATGTAGACATGTATCTTGAAAAATAACAACACCAAGATTACATTTATAGAGCGCCTTTCACGTCGGGAGGACGTCCCAAAGCACTGAACAGTCAGGTGTCGGGGCCTGAGCATGAGGGAGGGATGATGTAGGGGTGAGGGAAGGCAGAGAGGTGGGAGGGAGACCAAAGGCACGATCGAAGAGGAGGGTCTTGAAGGAGGCAAGGGAGGAAGCGAGGTGAAGCGATTGTGGGATGGAGTTCCAGAGTGTGGGGCAGAGAGGCTGAAAGTTCGGCCACCGATGGTAGGGCGGGTCCGGTGGGAGACATGGAGCAGGCCGGAGCCGCTGAACGGAGGAAGGGAGCAGGTTGGTAGGGAATCAGTAGATCAGAGGTCGGAGGGGGCAAGGCCGTGGATGGCCTTAGAGGTGAGGACGAGGATCCTCTGGAGGTTGGGGAGCCAGTGGAGTCGGGCGAGGGTGGGAGTGATGGGGTTACGGAGCCTGGTGCATGAGAGTACACGGGCTGCAGTTTTGGATGATCTGCAGCTTATGAAGGGAAGAGTTGGGAAGGCCGATGAAGAGGGAGTTCCCATAATCGAGCCTTGATGTGACGAATGAACACTCAATAACACTCAAAATAACACTCGAATAACACTCAAAATACTCTGCTGCAAAAAGTTTAATCACACATCAAACATAACTGCTTAACTTTTTCCAGCATAAAAATATTTGAATTGAAACAGCACATGCAAACCGACATGTCAGCCATGTTTTATTAACTTCTATGTATTTCCAGCTTATTGAAAGTGGACTATCAATGAAAACCCTGTTAAAATAAATTAGGTCTGAGGCAACAGCAACAACTTGCAAACAGCAAAAAACCAAACAAAGCAGCGCATCACTTCTCTCTATTTTAAAATAATTTTACTTTGTATGCACTATTTCAACATATTTTAATTTAAATTTGTTTTTTGGCTCGCCCACAAAATGAAGTAAATTCACTTTACAATATATTCTGTGAAGCCCTTTGAGACGTCTCAAAGATGTAATAAGGCATTATATCAAATGGAAGGATTATTATTATGTTGATATATTTTATTCAAACAGCTCAAGTCAGATTTTTTCATTAGGTGCAAATTAGAGTCTAAATGATCTCCTCTGCTTTAAAATAAAAAACTTACCTTAGCAAAGCCTTTATCTATTCCATATAGAACTGAAATGTAAAAGTACAAAACTTTCCAAATGCTATTCTGATATTAGAATACATCTTTGACAGAAATTCATGGCCAGTCGCTGACGTTTACTCAAACTACACTTGTCTTTATTTGCTGTGTTGTTACCTAGCTACCTCTGCTCTAAGGCAGTAATTGGTTGTCTTAGCTTCTCCGACATCCTAAAGCACAACCAAATCACAGCTAGTGCTTCACTCCCTTTTCTTCGGTTGTGCTACAGTAGCACCGATTTGTTGCTGAGCATTTCTCAGTCTCAAATCTTTCTGAGGATAATAGATGAACAAATAGAGGCAGGCCTGGACTTGTCTATTTGATTCACTGGAAACTGCAGATTAGCACTCAATTATTTCAGTTCACTTTGTTGGTTACTTTTGCTGAAACAGAAAGTTTTTTGCTCACTTTACATTTCTCAAACAATATTTTAAAATTATTTAAATGTGTCAGAGGAAGACATTTTGATGGGAATTTAGAGGGCAAAAAATCACCAATTCTTATTACATCTGAATAGGATGCAACATAAAGCTTATTTCTATTATGAACTCTAAAATACTTTTGAGCAATGTTCAACAGTAATAATGAATGGGTTACAGGGAAAAGGATTTATTTTGGGAATACTATTTTTTGTATTTGTTTTCAGAATAAACTGCAAATCACAATATAAAATAGTGATTAAATTCTCACCAGACAGAGGGCAGAGGATCATCAGAACATGGGCGGCTCCAGAAGTAGCTGTTGAGGTTGAGACCATAACAACATCAAAAGGGAATTGGCTACACATATTAAGAGGAAGAATGCAAAAACATACAGGGAAATAGCAAGGATTTGGGATTAAAGTAGTTAATAATAACAATTATTATAGAAAAATAACTTATCCAGTGAATGAGCCAGCACCATCTGAGGCATGATGTGCTAAATGCTTTTTTTAATTAAATCTATTTCTTATCTTTAAAAGGGTATTTTATAACTTCCCTAGTCATTATCGAGTCATTGTTGATAAGTACCACCTATGAGAACATTGCTTGAGTCCAGCATTCAGTTTGGCTATGGGGCCACATGATCAAAGAGCCTATTGACAGTCAATGTCTGGGCTCACAAATGAAGAAAAGCTACCTCAGGGAACCTGATCATTATATGAGATAAGAGGTGTAAGAGTGGCTGAAGCTCACCTGCCAATGGTCTGACAGAAGGGATGTGAAGCAGGTCTGAGGCAACAGCAACAACTTGTATTTATATAGTGCCCTTTGTTCAGGGCAGCATCTTGGAGTACAGTATAGTACTGTAGTAGAGAAAGGTATTTTAAGGATATTGAAACTAATCCACTTGGGGAATCGGGTGCTGCCTGAGTCTGTGGCTCTCGGAGCCTGGTGCAGGAATGAATACGAGTGGCAATATTCTGGATAAGATGGAACTTATAGTGGGTCAAGTTAATGATGTGGTCAAGGAAAGCAAAGGAAAAATTCAATATGGAGCTGACAATGGCATGATTGAAGGTTTTGCTTGTATTGGGGTGAGATAGGGCAGGCGATATTGCAGTGGGAAAAAGCGGACGTGAAGTCGGTGGCAAAACTTGTCCCTGGGAACAGAAATGAATCTGCAATCGATGGGAGTATATTGTTTTGCCTGATGGAGTATAAGCGACAGCAGGCATGGAAAAATCTGCAGTCTTGAATATAGAATTACACTCACACTTCAAGAACAATGTATAAACAACAACTTGCATTTATATAACGTCCTTCACGTGGGTAACGTCTCAGGGGGCTTGGAAGGGAAAAAAGTAAAGAAAATATAGACGCTGCAGTAAATTTAAATCAATAACATAATAGTTTATTAAGTTAAAGAATATTTTAAATATACATTAAAACCAGTTTACAAATGATTGATTTTTTTTAAATTAAGTTCAGTTTTAACTTATTTACTAGTTATTACTAATCACCACTTTGCATAGAACCAATTATTATTGTACATATTATTATTATTATTGTTATTATATAGAACCTTTTAAATAAAAGCATTACTTTCTTTTAATATTACATTTGAATAAGAAGTAGCATTAATGCACAACTGCAGGTTTTCAGATGTGACCATATTAAACACTGCTAAATTATACTGAATCGCCATTAGGTCAGAGATTCCACTTGAATGAGAAAGCCTACTTGACCGCTGCTCTAAAGCACAAATTAGTTGTTATGAAAAAATTGAAATGGGTGAAAATAGTGATTTGCAACCGGTTAATTCAGATGATGGTGATGATTAACACATTGTTGTCAAAAAGTGTGTCAATCAATGATCTATCAACTTTTGTACCTCACGCTACAGCCATCCTTGTGATGTGAAAGGTCTTTTGAAAGCTAATATGGATTCTGCCTCATCCGCCGTTGAGGCAGGATATTCTGCCTAGCTACTCTGTGTGTGAAAAAAATATCTCCAATCTCCTCATTTTCCCATTTGCTAACTACTTAACTTGATACCCTTTATACACTGACTTTCAGCACACCTGGAAACCAGTTGATAATTTAGCACCTCAACTGGTCACTGCCCCCCCACCCAGCCCCACCACCTCCCACCATTTTTCAACCCATTGCCTCAAAATTTTAGGGAATTAACTAGAGTAATTTGCAGCACTTAATTTAGACACTTTTAGTGTTAGGAACAGCTCCTGGATTATTCATTAGATGAAGATCCATGGAATGAGCTTTGCTGTTGTGTGTATAAAAATGCTATAGATGTGTGCCTGATTAAAAAAGGTTTAAAACGCTTCTAGTTGGTCTCTCCTTTGTGCTGAAGAAACTGGCGGATATATACTTTGGCGAAAGAATCACAGACTTGTACAGATAGCCTTGGTCCTGAAGAGGGAACCTTTTGCAATGAGGCTTGATACTTAATCCCCCCCAAAAGAAAAAATGTATTGTTTCACAATTATCAACATCAAACTGCATCTACAACAACAGGGCAGCATCCCAGAACACTTGACAAAACATTTTTTTTCCTGAATTTCAGAAGTGCCAGTAAACATTTAAAAATGATATTGATCTTGGAACGCTTAACAGTGGGAGATTAATTAATATCTACCACATATCAATGCACCCCTAAATCATTCTTAACTTTTCTGCACTCTTCCTCATAATTTCTAATAAATTCTACAAATTTAGAAATTGTTCTTCATCTCCATCTCAAAATTATTAATTAATAACAGAAAATAGCAGAGTTCCCAGCACAGATCCCTGGGGCATGCACCACTAACTACATCCAGCCAATCGGTGAAAGAATAATTTTCCCTGCTCTTTGCCTTCCATCTTTCAGCCTTCTAACTACAGTATTTTCCAATTAATGTTTAATAGCCTGCTTTAATTTTCTTAGCTAGTGTTTTAGTATGTCACCTTATCAAAAAAAATACATATATCAACTGTATTCTGCCTAAATTTATTCAGGTGGGTCAAAATAAGTTGGGTTTATATATGGTAGCACCACCCAAAGTCAATTTATTCTGAGTTTAAAACCCTTACTATAGATAATTTCAAGATAAGCACAATAAATTGTTATGGGAATCCAAACATTTTCCAAAAAAAACTTAGGTCTCTTTACCTATCTCCCTTTTTGCTTTCATGTTATTTAATATTCTTTTTTTCACTTCTGCCATTTATTTTCCCTCTTTTAATCATCACTTGATCCTTTCTGAGCTTGTACTCTCAAAACCAGTTAAGTAGGACACTTCCAACCCTAATAAGAGAAATACATGTTTTAGGGTTGCAGTTCAACCCCATCCTTTAACACCCTCAGGCAGAAATAATCCATCACAGCACCAAAATGACAAATTAATGCATTTGTGAATTGTAAGTCTTAGACCTTGGATCAATACAGTATTTGATTCACTACATTTGCAAACATCTTCTAAATTAGCTTATTTGATGATCAATTTCCCTAGGATTTTAATATGATTTCTGATAAGTCGACCCTGGCTTAACTTTCACTACCACTTAATCATTAAGCTATCAATATCCCTGCCGCATTTATTGATTTATATACATATGCCTAACTCACCACTTTGGATAACTCGTCAGTGAGCCCCTTTTCCTTGAAGTGACAAGTTATCAGTTTACTGTACTTAAAAGGCATTATAAATTAAATGTCTTATGTGATTTGCTCTGCAATTAAAACATCAGAAGACATATAATTGGTTAATTTCATAATGGAAGCACTTAAGAGATGCAATTCCCAGGAATGACTTGACAAGCTGGAGTCAACAATCACACGGTACCACACCAGTACTTTTCTATTCTGTTAAATAACTTGTCAGTTTGTTACTATGCCTAGAAGGAAAGAAATGGAAAAAATAAAATACAAACTCTAGCCAAGGTTCTATTTACTAGTGTTTTCTACATGATTGTTAGTCCTGATTTCGAGTATGTGCACTTGTCTCATTATGAGAAACTTGCAGAAACAAGCATTTTCTGTTGAAATGAGATGTACTCACAAGTAGAGAATCCCATAACAGAAATGATAATCTCCATGAGGGACGAGCAAGAGGTCAGAGCCAGCCGAGCAGAGTGGGGTTGGAGGTGCCATGGCATGAAGTGATTTGTACATAAGTTTGGGATCTTGAAGTTGATCCATTCTGTGATAGGCAGCCAATGGAGTCTGGCAAGTACTGGTGTGATTAGGGTAATACTAATAATCCTTGTATTTGATATAACTCTTTTCACATCTTCTAGACATCTCAAAATGCATCACAGACTATACTGTAAAGTGAAACAATAACAGAAGTCACTGGGAACACTCAGCAGGTCAGGCAGCATCTATGGAGAAAGGAGTGAGTCAATGGTAGCTCAGTGGTTAGAGCACTTGCTTTGCAAGCGAGAGACCTGAGTTCAATTCCAGGCAGAGGGCGAAACCTTGGGCAAGTTTCCTTACTCCACACAGAGCCTAATAATAATCCCTCCAAAACCAAAAACAATAATAAATTGGTCATTTTCAATCTACGACTGTTTGTGGGACATTGCTGTGCGCAATTGGCTGCCGCGTTCGCTCACAAATATACAGTCAATTTACTTTACAGTGTGTTCTGTGAAGCGCTTTGGGACGTCCTCCCGACGTGAAAAGCGGTATATCAAATGCAAGGATTATTATTATTATTATAATGGAGAAAGCCACTTTCCTTTCTCCATAGATGCTGCCTGACCTGCTGAGTGTTCACAGTGACTTCTGTTTTTGTTTCAGATTTCCAGCATCTGCAGTATTTTGCATTTTGTTTATGTTGCAAAGTGAATTGTGGGCAAAACACGGCAGCCAATTGCGCACAGCAGTGTCCCACAAACAGTCGTGGATTGAGTGACCAAATTTTTTTTTAGGGATTATTATCCCTGGAAAAGTGATCCACCAATCGACTAACAACCGGGTTCCTACTTACTGCTAGGTAAACTGGGACGTGTGGAGTAACAAAACTTTCCCAACATTTCTCCCTGCCAGGCATAGAACCCAGGTCTCTTACTTGCTAGGCGAGTGCTCTCACCACTGAGCTACAGGACTCCACAGAATTTAGGTAGTTTAGAGTGGGTGAGTTTTGAATTAGTTGGATTTTGTGGAGCTGGGGAGACCAGGGAGGACTGCACTGAAATAGTTGAGGCGGGAGGTGACAAACGTGAGGATGAGGGTTTTGGCTGCGTTGGGTATGAGATGCGGTCAGAGATGAGCAATGTGACAGAGGAAAGCGGCCCTTGTCAAGGATGTGGGGTAGGAAGGAAAGCTGGGGATCAAACCTGATGCTGAGGATACCCACAGGTTCAGTAAATCATAGGGATAGGCCAGGGAGGTTGAGGTCAGAGCACAAGATATTGACTTGAATCAAGTAGTATGGCTTTTGTCTTGCTGACATTGAACTACAGGAAGTTTGCGCTCATTCAGGCCTTGATGTACGGCAAACAAGCTGACAGAACATCAGTGGACTAGGAGTCACAGCTTGAGGCTGAAAAGTAGATTTGGATGTCACCTGTGTACATGTGGAAGCTAACCCCATGTCTGGGGATGACATCGTCGAGAGGGAGCAAATAAATAAGGAAAAGAAGGGACCAATGATGGAACCGTAGGCTACCCGACAGGTGACTGTGGGGGGGTGAGAGGAAAAACAAATAAATAATAAACAAAATAAATACTAACAAGTAATCACTTTAAATATTGATGACACAATATAAGATTGTGTTAGCACATCTGAATTTAAATTGTGTTAACCAAATGAAAATGCACAGCAAGAGAAAAGAAAGCTGCTATAGGACAAATTAGTTGCAATATAAAGAGGCTAGCAAGAAAGGAAAAAATGCTGTTAAGTGCACCTGGTAATATAAGCTATGAAAAAGATAACCAGTAAGAAAAAAACTTTGTGGCACTAATATAAATTGTTAGCATGATTTTTGGCTCAGTTGGTAGAATACTAGATTCTGTGTTAGAAGGTTGTATGTTCAAGCCCCAAGTCATGAACCATATAGGCTGGACTTACGCGCTCTAGTGTAGTGCCGGGGAAGCCCAAATTGCATTTTTTCAGATATCAAAAAGAAGATCCAGTCTATTTGTTCAGGTGGATTATTTTTAAGAAGTGATATTATGTAAGAATGGAGCTTCTTCCAGTGTTCTAGCCAAATTCTTCTAAATTCCTGCTGCCTTCATCCACAAAAACAATCATTGTACTTGGGAAGTGGTATTATGCACACTCTTAAAGTGAAAATGTTGATGCTATCTGGGGGTGGGAAGTCTCCTTGGAGTTGAACTGGCTCGGAGATGACACACTTGGCAATGAAATGTCAGAATTGAGTCAATCCTAATGCAGTCTCTGGAGTTCGGTTCCTGAGCCAGGCAGACGAGTCACTGGGGGCAAGGGCTCTTCTCCACTAAACAAACTGTTAACCATCCCAGCCAAAGCTCTAAAGGGGTAGAGTGGTCCTAGCTGTTCAAATAGCAGGAAGCTTTTCAAACACTGCTTTCAATGGCAAGCTAATGTGGTTTTAGTTGCTTAAACACCAACAAAACCCCAGCTTTGTGGTACCTAAGCCTTGGCTCTTGCCAACCAGCGGGAAAAAATTCTCTGGAATTAAATAAGCAGGATGCGTCTCTCCGGGAAAAGAGTGCACTTTCCATTCCAAACAGAAGTTTCCATGTGTTGGTTCCATGCATAGAATTCACTTTGGGTTGGATATTCTTAATCATGGTAATGGGTTTCTGCTTGTGTCAAGACACCAGCTGACAAAAAAAATAAAAGTTAAAATTCTTAGAAAATGCTCAGCTGAATGCAGACAAGAATACAGCAAATGTAGCGGGGCAAGCTGTTAGAATTTATTTATTGTGAATAAAAGGTAACTGACCTGTGAGGTATTTTGCTCCGATTAACATAAACATGCTACCCAGTAAAAAAAAGCCCATAGGCATGTAAGTGAACATACGAGAGTCTGCTGACATCATCCAATGGGTTCCATATAAACAAATGAAAGAAAATAAAATTGCAATGAATTACTTAAACATCTGTACTGCAAAAAAAATTCAGCAACAAGGATGATGCAATTGTTTCAAACAACAATGAATCCAACCAGTGTAAGTATATATATTGAACTGTACTACAAAAACAGTTCATTTATTGTAGTTGTGACTGGTTAAGATTCCTTGTTTTTTTCCATTCTTAGAATACAAGCATCTGCCACCCACTGCAAAGTTTGGGGTTCTAGTTGTATTCTAACCAGGAAAAATGGGTTGACAATTCAATCTTCTGGATAATGGCAGCACAAATGATAACCTAACCTGGAGAAATCAAGTTCAGATCATGGAGTGCTTTCCCTCAAGGGAATCCATTTATGTCATGCTGACCCACAAGACCTCAGTTCTGAAGTGATCTCATGTTGGAGCCAAGTTCATGTGGTGTGAAAGCTATTTTAAATCCCTTTAAGATGTTATGAAGATGCAGTGTTAACCAAATGACCTCTTCATTGCTATGGCTATAAATGATGTGAAGCATTGAATATGCATCAATTTTGGTTGTTTTTTTAATCTATAAGCAGGGCCAATAGAAAATTGTGGAAATATTTTCCAAAAATTGTGGGGAGTTGATTGGTGCTATTGAGATGTATATTTTACTCCCAAACTTCATTTCTTCACTTTATTGGTAAAAACTCAACTTGAAGAAATAACACATATTAAATTGTTGCAAAAAAAATTAATGTTTTCTTTTACAAAAACTGGGTGGCCACTCGTGTGTGGGGGGGGGAAACAAGTGTGACTGCGGGGCTCCAGGTCACCATCTCGTGCCTCTCTCCGGAGCCCACCACCGCACGCAGACAACGAGACACTCACAGAAGCACACTCAGACAGAGACACACACAGACTCAGAGAAAGACACTCACAGACACAGAGACACACACAGCCACAGAGAAACACACTCAGACACAGAGAGACAGACATAGAGAAACACACACTCAAGAAACACACTCACAGAGAGACACACACAGACAGAGAAAAAGACACTCACAGACTCAGAGACACACACATAGACACAGAGAAACTCAGACACAGAGAGACAGACACAGAGAAACATACACACTCACAGACACAGAGAAGCACACTCACAGACAGAGAGACAGACACAAAGAAACATACACTCACAGACACAGAAAGATACACACAGATACAGAGAAACATACACACTCACAGACACAACAACAAAATCACATTTGTATATTGCCTTTCACATCGGAAGGACGTCAGAAAGACACACACTCACAAAGAGACACATACACACTCACAGAGATACACACGCAGACACACAGATATACACACACACAGATACAGAGAGACAGACACGCATAGACTCATTGAACAGTGGAGGTTCGGGGTGAGTGAAGCCCATTTCCTGCTCGTGCCGCACTGTGCATACGTGTCCATAGCCACTTCACCCACAGTAGCAGCGTCGAGTAAACAGCCGGCAGCAGCACAGAGGCCCGGGGCCCTGAGCACACTGTGCTTAAAGGTTTTTGGCGGAGTGGCGTGTTTGTAGCAGAGGGTGGCTGGGATGTAGCAGAGGGGGGATGTTTGTAGCAGAGTGGTGTGTTTGTAGTGATGGTTGTTTGTAGCAGAGGGGGAGTATTTGTAGTAGATTAAACATTATTATTAATTTGTTATTAAACAATAACAACGAACAATGATTTCAAACACTTAGGGAAATAAATGAAAGTAAATCAGCGCAGCAGGAACATTTCTGTGAACATTTTAGCCAGGAGTCAGCAACAAGCTACAGCAGTGGCTTGGTGCTATTTATAGCACATAGGAATGCCATGTCAATTCTCTTCTCACATTGACTGAAATTGATGACCTTCTGTTTTTTTCTCATCAAAAACTTGTCAGTCAATACCTGAACCCAGTGCTGAGTGGAGAATGTCTTGAGAAGAATCTCTTCTTTTGTTAAATTTATGTCTCAATTTTACAGTCAATAAACTTATATAAGCATGTCAGCATTCCCTTAGTACCAGTCACAAATGTATGGTATACTACATTGAAGCAGTGAAATTAACCCAAATTTCCTTTTAACATATAATAAAAATAAATCAAACCATAAGTCATGGAAAATAATTTAATTTTGCAGTGCATTCTAAATATACTAATTATAGGTGAATTATCGTGGACAATGGCACTTAGGCGCTGAAAAGCAATTGCTTACAAGTGTTGAATGTGAAAATGTGACACATAATGTGCTGATGATCACAAGTTTGTTTTGGATTAAAAAAGCCTTCTATTTCATCTCCACCATATCATTCTCCCTTCACACCATCAAGCTAACTTTTACATGAGTCCAGTGTCCCAGTCTCAATCACCCTACTAGTAATCTGTTCCAGTCAGTAATTACCCTGTGGTAATTGTGGTAAAGAAAAACTTCCTGGTTTCTGCCCGAAAATTGTCCTTTGCAACTCTTTGTTTTCTTGTACTGTTTTAGCGCATCCTAAAGTATTGTTCTGTATTTACTTTTTCATTACAATTTAACATTTTACATACCTCTATAAGGTTAGTTCCGAGACATCTCTTTTCAAGATTGAAGAGCTCTAGCTTGTCTAATCAATGCCGATAGATAGCTCATTCCTCTAATACTGGGGATTATCTTCATTGCTCTCACGCTCATTGCCCCCAAGGCCACAGCTAAAGTATGCTATATTGCTTAAGTATGACATCTGGAGATAAGAACTCAACTGATTTGGTAAATGTAGCTCATTGTCTCATTTGCCTAGTGTATTGTTGACTCACTGTTCTGATATGGTGAGCAATAAGTTAACTAACACATCTAGATTTCTTTTAGATTCCGCTTTGCGAGTTCTATTCCAAAATTGGTGATAACTATCAAATAATTGATAAATGCAATTGAAAAAGTCGGTAAGACTGCTTTAAGTATTGCAGATGCTGAAAATCTGAAACAAAAACAGAAGTCGCTGGAAACACTCAGCAGGTCAGGCAGCATCTATGGAGAAAGGAAAGTGAGTCAACATTTCGGGTCCATGACCCTTCGTCAGAACTGACACAAACCAAGAATTCAGGATTAAGTTACCCCGAAATCCAAAGAGACTTTAATAACTTCAGCATTTAATATATAAAATTAATGTCACTGCACTGTCCAAATACCCTTAAGAAAATATATCATTTTAAATATTTAGTAATTTACAACACTCACATAACTAGTCTAGACAGCACTCCAATATTTGAGTTGATTTTATTTAGCTTTAGTCAACTTTTGTCAAAGCAGCTATCTATTTGTAATTGTGCTCCACGTTCTTGAGAAGAGATCACAAGGTACTAATGTTCGACAACGTTACGCTGCAGAGTAAAAAAAACTTCAGTTAATTGTCATTTGATTCTATTCCAATTCTGTAAGCGGATATAACAACAACAAATTACATTTATATAGCGCCTTTCACATTGGAATGATTTCCCAAGGCGCTGGACATGCAAGGTGGGATTGGATAATTTTCAACTATTTTCATATACAATATTCAAAATATAAAAGTTTTTAGTTTTATATACATTATAAAAAAATAAAAACTGCTAAGTATATTTTGGGAAATTCTTAAATTTCAAAAGCATAAGTTTTTTTAAAATCTTTTCCTTTTTAGGTCTTCTCACAAGAATCACAATTCAGTTGAGAGGAACGCAGTGCATGAGTCTGGGGTAACTGCAATATTCCCTCCCTGTGGAAGGATCTGGACTCCATATGATGCTTCCCTTGATAGCACATTTGGGGTCAAGAATTATGCTTCTCAGTAAAGTTCTTTGATTGTGTGTGGTTATAGTATGGAAGTTTCACCATAAGTGAAATTACATGAAGACTTGGTATAAACACAGAAGTCGCTGGGAACACACAGAGGTCAGGCAGCATCCATGGAGAGAGGAAAATTAGTTAACATTTCAGGTCTATGACCTTTCGTCGGAACTGGGGGATGTTGGAAGGGAGTAGATTATAAGGAAAAGTGGAGAAGGGGGCGGGCAAAGAAAGACAAGGACACATTTTTGGATGGAGGACAGAAGATGATGAGATTAGAGGTGTTGATTGTGCAAGACAAAAGGCAATAAGGGGGATTATAGAATGAACAGAGATGTGTCTAAGAACCAGAGGATGTGTTAATGGTTATAGAAGAGCGGGAGGGGGGGAGGCAAAACTGAGAGAAGATGGAAGCTATAGTTAGGGTCTGAAATGGTTGAAATCAATGTTGAGGCCAGAGAGCTGTAAGGTGCCCGGGAGGTGGATGAAGTGCTGTTCTTCGAAGTTGCGTTGAGCTTCATTCAAACAGCATAGGAGGCCATGGGCAGAGAGATCACAGAGGGAATGGGAAGGAGAATTAAAATGGCAAGTGAGCGGAATCTCAGGGCTGCACTTGCATGCGATCAAAACGATTAACCAATCTGCATTTGGTCTCCCTGATGTAGAGGAGACCACAGCGTGTGCAGCGAATACCATCTATGTTGGTGGAAGTTCACGTAAATCGCTGTCTCAGCTGGAAGCAGTGTTTGGGGCCCGGGACAGTGGTATCGGAGGAGGCAAATGGGCAACATTTGCCTCGGAGGAGGCAAATGGGCCATCCCTTTCTCTGCTTGTCCTTATAATCTGCTCCTTTCCAACGTCCCCCAGTTCTGACGAAAAGTCATAGACCTGAAGCGTTAACTAATTTTCCTCTCAACATGGATTCTCTCTAACCTGCTGCGAGTTCCCAGCAACGTCTGTGTTTATACCAGATTTCCAGCATCTACAACACTTTACCTGAATACTTTATTGATATAGTAGTGGAATTGCAACCCATACGGTTTGCTAAATTCACTCTGTAGAACATTACGAGGGTCATGTTTTACTACTCCATAAGTTAGAATGGAGCCATAGGGCACTTTGCCACCAAACTGCCTACTCAAAATCTCTATCCAATCCCAAACA